TAAAATGGCACAAAACTGACAAGGAGTACTGAGACATTCGGCGACCTGACACCTAGCTCCAAAACTCCTCCAAGGCGCAAACCAACAACCTTCCAACTTGGAAGACTCAGGTTCGGAAAGGTCCAAGAGGGGAAGGAATGCGCAACGAAGTAGAGCACGAGCTACGCATCACGGCAACAAAGGATGCCGAAAGTTACTGGATGATGACGACACTAGTTAGACTATTGGACATACCGGCCTTAATAGAACTCGACGAAAAAAAGCAACAGACCACCTAACTTGGGAGGCTCAAGTTTATGTAATAAACATAGAAGGGGTGGACAGTTTGTCATAAGTAGTAACATTTTGTCCTTTTCCTTTTTTATTGGCTCACCATCCGAGTTCAATCTAATACCTTATTTTTTATTAAGAAAGATAAAGAACCAAAAAGCTGAAATGTACGCTACAATGTCCACTAACACCACCAATTACTAAACAATCAGCTCCTGCGATAACATTGCACGACACTGACCGACGATACTGAAGTTCTACAACTTCTACAACAGTCAGTTAGTTCTACAACAGTTAGTTATAGAACTTCAGTATCGTCGGTCAGTGTCGTGCAATGTTATCGCATGAGCTGATTGTTTAGTAACAGGTGGTGTTAGTTGACATTGTAGCATAACTTTTAGCTCTTTGGTGCTTTATCTTTCTTATAAATTAATCCTTTGCTCTCCATCCGAGTCCTGATTTTTATTTTTTTTCTCATTAATAATTGCATTCTGCCCTCAGTACGTGATTGGTTTCACTCTTACTTCCTTATATTGGCTGTTTCCATTATGTACCATGAAGTACAGACAACAAAAACTGTAAAAACTAAATACAAAAATGACATGCTCTTCGCGTGCACCGACATGACTCATCCTGAGGATGAAAAGAGCCTAATGATGGGCCGTGCCCGACGATTTGGTGAACGCTTTATGACGTATTATTATTATTGTTATTATTATCAATCAGCAGTCGGCCGAACGCCGGAGATAGGCACCCACCGGGGTAGCATCCAGCAGCCAAAGGTGGGGCCATGCATCATATGGATATTGAATATGATGGCAGGTAAACAACAGAGAGAAACACACAACACTCTTTTTCCCTTCTTTTTTTATTTCAATTCGTTTAAAGCACAGGCACCAGAGAAGAAAACTCCGGTTCCTACTAAAACGAATAACACATTATGAGAGAAGGAAATTATATTAAAAAGAATTATAAAATGAGAATTCCAAAGTATAGAATTCAATGGGTGTGTGTACATGTAAGCAGTGCAGAACACATATGAAGAACATGCAGTAATGTGTATGCTGACTGGGGGGGGGGGGTATTGCGTGCACACTGCTTTTAAAAGTATAAAGATGAGGGATGAATGTCAAGCAAAGCGGTACCCATGAAGGAAGTGATGCCGAGCGAGGAAGCAGCGCGTTTAACATTGGTTACAAATTACAATCAATTCCGTCCAGAGCCAGCTTAAAGGCACAAGCCGCATTGTGGAGGCGAATATCACTGGGAAGGGCATTCCAAAGAGTGCTTCCTACAAATTCCAATGACTGACGACCAGACGGCCCAGGAAGGAAAGGCACTTGCAGCAGCCCATTTTCCTGTCCTCGAGTAATTCGGCGATCATCCCGAGATGCGTGGCCTGAATTAGCCCTCAACTGACAGTAGGTGCAGAAAATAGGACTTGCAAGATCATGTAGGCAACGGAAAACAAGAAACAGAACCTTGTAGTGAAAAATGAGAGTTAGGGATCGAATAGATTATCTTATGAGAAGGAGAGCTGTGGATGCACGGCTGGAGAGTCGGAAAATTGCACGAATGCCGGATTTGCTGGATTTGATTAGACGACTCTGCAACTGCTGTGTCAGCGACGGGAAGAATGCATTGGATGCGTACGTTAGTCGTGCTTGCACGATGCCAACTTACCAAAGTCTGCGAGCTCTTATGGGCAGAGATCGCCCATGGCGCTATAGCTGACTGGTGGCGACTGACATCTTCCGCACAACATTTGAAATAAATTATGTGGCTGCCAGGACAGCTGATCGTCAATGGTTACGCCAAGGTACTTGGCAGTGGAATTAACAGTTAAGGCTTGATCCTTACATTTCACGACTGGTATGTTGCCAGTGAGTCCCCGAGGTCGAGTTACCATGACTTGGGTTTGGCCGGTATTCAGCAGAAGTCCAATATCGGCGAGCCAGTCAGACAGACGTGTTACAGTCATAGTCAAAAAATCATCAGTCACACCACCAGGACTCGAACCAGGGACCTTGCTATTCGAGAGCAATGCTCTAACCAACTAAGCTACAGTATGACTCTCATCCACAGTGATGGTAAATCTATCCTTCTTCGATCAATCCATTTCCGGCTTGCATCATACTGGCAACTCACACCAATCAAGAGGGCCCTCGGCCATTCGCTTGATAACATGGGGAGCGCATCAAACTATGTCCACTGCGAGCAAATACAAATTGCAATTTCAAATTTGGACTTCAAGGAGAATTTCAAAGTTTTTAGGAAATTATAGGCCACATGCCACGTACGTGCTGCTCTTTTCTCTCCGAAACTCAACACTTGCAAGCCAGATATGAAAAAAAGAAAAAATATCATCAGTCACACCACATTTTTCTTTCTTTCATATCTGGCTTGCAAGTGTTGATTTTCGGAGAGAAAAGAGCAGTACGTGGCATGTGGCCTCTAATTTCCTAAAAGCTTTGAAATTCTCCGTGAAGTCCAAATTTGAAATTGCAATTTGTATTTGCTCGCAGTGGACATAGTTTGATGCGCTCCCCATGTTATCAAGCAAAGGGCCGAGGGCCCTCTTGATTGGTGTGAGTTGCCAGTATGACACAAGCTGGATATGGATTGATCGAAGAAGGATAGATTTACCATCACTGTGGATGAGAGTCATACTGTAGCTCAGTTAGTTAGAGCATTGCTCGCGAATAACAAGGTCCCTGGTTCGAGTCCCGGTGCTGTGACTGATGATTTTTTCTTTCTTTCATATCTGGCTTCCAAGTGTTGAGTTTCGGAGAGAAAAGAGCAGTACGTGGCATGTGGCCTCTAATTATTATCATTATTTCTTGTAGAAGAGATATAAGTGGTGCTCTTCGCACACAATATTCCTCAGCCTGCTCAAGCTCACTGATGAGGGGTGAATTCCCCGAAACACTGTGTATTGAGCAGGGAGTGATGCTTCCTTGCAGGTTTGGCGAGTGGCCGGTTCGATGGACTTCTTGTGTGCTTTGGATGGCAGTCGTGACTCGTGAGCCAGTCAAGTGAGAATTCAAGTCGGCGGGAAAACCGCGAGCTCCCATGTGCAGCGCCCTGGGCGAATCGGATCAACATGACTGTGCACTGCACGCAGCGCTCTGTACGCGCTGAGGGCACCGGCCCTGGTCAATCTACTGGATTTCCATGTCCTCTACAGTATGCACAGTGCTGCATTCACTGAATGACATGCCGGGCGCTGTGCAGCCCTACAGACTTGCGAACACTGGGATGGGAAATGTAACTGGCCGAGGGCATTAACTTTTCTTTTTTTTACATTCATCGCTCAAGATTTTTTTAAGCATAAACTTGGTTCCTGCGATCGTCTTAAATTTTCATTGCGCAGCACCGTAATCCGTGGAAGAGCAATCCCTTTTTTTACTACTGATGTCGCAATGCCTATGTTCGCATTGATGTCTTTCACTTTGATGGCGACAAGAGGTGGCTACAGTCAGTTTCAAAAAGATTAGCAATCCTGGCGATCGCCCGCGGAGTTTGCCGTCTTACCGTATGCGCGCTCACGAGCTGACTTGGAAACTCACTGTGAACTCGAAGAAATAATCCGCGCGAAAGCATGAAAAATGACAACTCACTCACGTCAGTACATGTACGTCTGGTTTACAACAAACGACTTCTTCCTCGTATCGATATGGAGTCAGAGAGGACATGTCGAAAGTGTGGTAAATGTTGACGAGCGGGATGGGTCCCATTTCGTTTCGTGCCCAATTTCTTTGAGCTGCGATGCAATTTACTCTCACGATGTGACGAAAACGACATTGACACAGACTCATTCCCAACGCCATGACTTGGCAAAGCTATCCGTGTGACTTCGACGACATTTTGAGAAAAGCAGACGCCTGTGAAAGCTGATAGAAGACGGCGTTGGCTCCTAAATTCAAATAAATTGGCGATCTTGAAATACTAAAATAATTCTCAAAGAGAAATCGATCGATCGATGTGCCGTTGTATTCAACAACACGTAGCTACAGCGCAATGACTTCCGTGTTCACTCACACCGTTTCAGTGTTGTGGGTGTGTTCACATGGCGTGAACCAGTCAAGTGTCCGACAGTAAGTATTAGTTCGGCAGGAAACGCGAGCTCCAACAACAAGTCATTTGGCGCAGCCACCTTCTTCTTTGGCTTGTACTTTTGTACCAGCGTGATCACCAAAATAATGCAAAAAAGTTTGACTTGAAGATAGTTTGGGATTTGAACTCACAACTTCATGGTCAGCAGACAGCATTCATAACCACAAGGCCAAAAAGGAAAGGATAAATCGTGGGTTTTGATAAAAAATCGATACTGACATCCAGGGCAAATCGTAAACCAAGAGAAAAGGCCGGAAACCTGGCCGAAATTCTAACTCCTTAACGGCTGGTCCAATTGTTCCGAAACCTCCACAGAACAATTTGCCATGTCCTAACAAGCCATTCTATGTACTTTTTGTCCAAATTTTCCTTATCTTCATACTTTTTAAGACCAAAACCTGATTGCTAATCTTTTTGAAATGGACTATAGTTCGTTGAAACTCGAGCATTATCCTCGTACCACTGCACTCATCAGAGTTCTTACAAACTCGCCTTGTTGAACCTTTCTCACCGTTATGTATTTGCACTAGCATAACTCTCATTTTCAACACGGAAATATCGCCCATCTTAAACCATTCATTTTGTGATCTAAATGCCCGCCATGTATTACTTACGCTCACAGATCGGAAGAGGCTGAGGCGACCATGTGCCATTGGTCTGGCAAACCAGTTCATGGGTCCTTTGTCCATTCACCGCAAACGCCTGCTTACATGTGACGTTTATTGTTTGTGTGGGCTTGTATGAATCCAGTAGGATTGTTTCATTGGATATGTTATGCAGCGTGGGCTTCGGGCAACTACGTGCTGTTCACGCATCGCAAAGAAAAGTTTCAAACAGTATAATTTGTAACTATGCATGATGACCCTTGATGTCAAGAACAATATGTGAGAATCATGGGCTCTATTCATACATAGACGATAAGAGTAAATATCAGGTCCTAAACCAGGCCTAATGGAAACCTAGTTGTAGTTATGCTTATCGGATCAAATGCCTCCTACTAATGGCTTGGAAAAGTGGTCCCTTGAAGCATGTTTTGCTGACGCAGTATCCGTCCCTCATGGCAGGGTGATGAAATCAAACACATACTAAGGGAGTTGATGTGCGGGCGGTATGGGGTGGAGAACATACAGGAAACCCATTGGCATCATACCAAACTGCTACCGAACTGGCAGTGATTTGACTACAAACACGGATACTAAAATACCGGCGACTTAAATCTGGACCCTACAGTGGCGCGTTCACAAAGCAAAGACCCAACGCGGGAAATAACGTTAGAGACCACTAGAATCGGTGCTCCACTTCAGCACGAAAAATATTGGTCGGAATTCTGTTGCCAACGCTTTATCATTCTCTGCTTTACTGTCACGAGATAAGCGAGACTGTTAATTAAAGGTGTCCTTTGTGGACCTGTTGTTGCATAAATGCACCAAAATGCACCTATGTGCGATGTGTCGTCCTATCTGCATACACGTGACTGTTCTGTAGAATGTATGTAGCAGTTTTTTCAACTTGACTAACGAATGCGAATATTTGCTGCTATTTCATACTGTTTCATTTGCAGATATTCTTCCGACTGACATGTCCGGGTTGAGGATGTTCCAGGCCAACGTGCAAACTGTTCGATTTCGGAACTTTTAGGAGAAATTGTAGTGATGGACAGCGAAATGTTTGAGCTCATTGCCCTCTTTGAGTGGTCTGAGGTCATCAAGGTTGTCCCTGTGAAACATTTCAACTGGATGGGATTCGTCGATGTTCACACTCCTGCGAACCCCTGAGGAGCTATACCATCGTGTATCACTCTTCTATATCGCCCTCCATTAATTCTTGTGATCCTCGACTGATCCTATAATTATCCGTATAGCCATAATGTCGATTGTTCAGATATATTGTTTATATTGACCACTTAGGCATTGTATTTTTCCCACTTTGGAGGGACTTCTAACAGTTTTCTCCTCTTCAAAGCGAAAATGTACATACATAAAACAAAGGAAGAGAACGAACAGGATTTGAATACACGACACTATGAATTTCAAGAAAATCATTTTTGCTGCCCTCCACTGTGCTGCAGATGCTGAACCCTGGTTTTCTTACAGTCTTATACACAACAATAGGCACATATCCCATATGCAGTGTTGTACCAATGCTACCGTAAAGAATAAAATATTGAAGTTATGGCAAACTGATCGTGATGACCAGGATATTTAGTAATACAATATCGCCAAGTGGCGTGCTACGAAGTCTTCTATATCAACATAGCCCTTACGTTGTTCATCAGAAGAAGAAGAGTCACAGCGTACAACAGAAAGCCCTATTATCACAGGGATCAGTGTCAGTAGAACTGACATATTCAACTCGGCTGGAGTCAGCGAATCACCGAAGACTCATCCGAATAAGGTTGTATAGGTTGTGCACTCAGTATGGCGTGGCACTCGAGAATCAGAAACAGTGCGGGAGTACTTTGATCAGAAGCAACCAGGTCCAAGACATGAGAGCACCATAAACGGGACGGGATCAGGATTAGAAGTGGCGCAAAGAGGGGGATCTACGCTGCTGTAAGAAGTAATCGAATGCGGGTGAGGTTTCCTATGTACGTGTTGACCACTGGCTTCGTTTTCTACCCTGGCTCCAATGCTGGGATCTCGCTGAAGCTCCCCGTGTAGCAGCCGCATCTACAGGGCTGGCAACTGAAATCCAACCCACCGAGCGGTGCGCTCACATCGCAAAGAATGTGAGCCCACCGCTCAGGGGATCGGATTTCAGTTGCCAGCACTGTATCTGCATTATCGACGAGTAATGCAGATGTATGCACTGTATGCACTGTATGCACTGTAGCACCACTGTAGTTGTTCTCATGCGCTATTCCAAGCACAACGCGCGCCACATATGACCTCTCCACAGGCGAGATCCATGAGAATATATTCTAGCGGCCTGAAGAGGTACTTTAGCAAGGAATGAATTGGTCAAACGGTGAAATCTTGCAGTGCACAAGACAAGACAACAAGGAAGTCATCGCAGCAATCTGCCATCTGTGTTCATTCAAGCTGACACTCACTTCCATGAAAACATCCCGGCCATGGACAGCCATCTGCGACATTCACTTCTTGGTGGTGAACAGATGGGGACCGGACAGGGAAATCGTGCGGAGCGCCAAGAGGAGTGGAGTTCCACGACAGTTTCCCTGTGCAAAGCCGAGACTCGTAAAGTCAATATACGCCTTTGGGATTTGTCTACTACTATTCTCACTTCACCCACAATCATCCATGCATATCGCAATCAATTGTTCGCTTGTTTCATCCAAGCTCCCCAAGGCATGCACACCGCAGGCAACATTGTTAGACAAACTAGAACACGACTGCATGTTGTTCAAGACAGTGGCGTATACTTATTCACACACATGATTCGATCATGCAGATCTCATCGCTGAAGGTCCTATGCTCCGTAATACGGAACGGGCAGCACTTTGGTGTAGAGACACTCTGATACAATGGAAGGGTTTGAAAGATTTTTGCCGTTTTTGGTATACCTGGTGCTAACACGATGAGAATATGTGCTGGATAACAATATCGTACGGGTGCTTCGGGCAAAGATATTACATGCAATGCATTACAGCTAGGCGCAAACGATCCTAGCACTGTGAAATAACTAGGGGGGGGGGGGGGGCTGACAGTCCCTGCCATGGGTTTCCAAGCAGTGCATCAGGTGGGGTGAGGTACTTGTCTCCCAAATTCAACTAGATAACTGTGTTTTGTAGCAGTCAAATGATTACTCCACGAGTCCATGTACGTTAAATGTCTTCCAGACAATTAGCTCTTGCACTCACCCAAAAGCAACGTTCGCAATGAAGTAATCGGCGAAAGCCTCTATCAAGCGTTCACGCAAACTCCGTTTCTCTTTCTTTAAAACATCCTTCCACGGATAGCCATCTGATACCACCAACTTTTGTGGATGAACTATATACAAATACACATAGCTAAAATTGAATGCTCGATGCTGGATTTGACGGTGTTCAGTCGAAATTATCCCTCTCCATGTCCCCATACTTTTTCATGGAGGGTATATGAATACGTATGTGAAACGAGACGCATCGGCACGGTGTTAATTTTTCTGCTTTGGACATTTTAATTCGATACAAGTGTTGCTGTTGTTGTTGTTTATCACGATGGGCAGAGGCCAATAAGAGATACTGAAGTAGTTTTGTTGTTTTTTGCTGGTGCGCTATTGCTTGTATTGGTTTTAGTGTAATTGTTATGTTCTGTGTTGTCTTGTACGAGTTGGGGGCGGGAGGGGGGGGGGTACTGTTGAATAGCATCCTGCAGCTCTACCTACTTTAGATCCATATGGTGGTAAATACACATCGGGGAAATATGGCGGTAAATACTCCCCTGCCCACACTCGCTCTATGAGTTGCAAAGATACTCTGACACAGAGCTCTGCTTCTCGCCACCATCACCATCAGTTGGCGTATGGCACCTAGTTGATGCGTGGTTAGTAGTATCCGACCTAGCATGCTGGTACATAAGGTAGCGCATGGCGCTTAGCAGATACCGCGACAACGACATAGGTCGATTGCGACGTACGTTTCGTTCCCGCTGGACTCATCCGGAAATCTTCTTCTTGGATGACATATTGATGAGCTGATGATGAACAGATGCGAACTGATGGTGGTGGTGGTGAGAAGGAGAGGTCTGTGCCAGTGTAACTTTGCAGCTTATAGCGCATGTATAGACAGGCGTGTATTTACCGCCATATTACCATGTGTATTGTACAATTTATACTATCATCCATTTTTGCATTCTCTTCAATGTAATTGGGCGATACTGCCCATTTGCTATTTCGAACCCATACAACTACGTACATAGAACATACCTACCTACATGTCCCACTTTACACCCACCACCCCCCCCCCCCCTCCCCACCCACCCCCCTCCCCACGCCCCACGCTCCCTTACCGACTTCATTCACCACTCCAGGAACAAAGCGTCGAGCACAAAAGACACATTTTCAATAGGTAAACAGAATGGGGAATCTGATGTAAGGGGTTACGGTTGATGAGTATTTAAAGACCGTTTTTACAAGTACGAGATTACAGCCTCACACAGGCAAATTGAAAATACGAGTTCCAACTGATGACACCAAATGCGTTCAAAGTGAATGTCTCATGGCTGCTTTGGTAACAATAGTAACGGCATACCAGTAGCAGACAAACACGTAATTCATTTCCACTGGTGATATTATAACTGTAACATGCACGTAATTATGTGACTTTACATGTACGTGTATGCTGTGGCGTGAACACTACGATTTGAATGGATTGTGCATGTGCGGATGCTGATCACAATAATTCATAACTATGATGATTGTGCTATAATTATGGTTAAACTCCAAGAGACGGGTATACATGTACAATGCTGGCAACTGAAATCCGACCCCCCCCCCCCCTAGCGGATCGTACGAATCGCTAACGCGGCTAGCGCACCGCTAGGGGGGTCGGATTTCAGTTGCCAGCACTGCACTTACTCTTCTTCTACTGTGTATTCTAAATATGCATGTGTGTTGTTGCACAAGTTGAAATCCTGTTTCAGCAATGAATCAGACCACCATTCACTGCACGTTCCGGGGCGATCTGTGCCTGCATCGTGTATGCTATTGTACATAAGGTCGGATTTCACATGAACACACTGTGTAAAGATTGCGCAGCCCGCTAGACACGGCGCTTGAAAGCATGTGCCTAAGAGCCGGATATTTCCCTGGACCTCACGGTCATATTCATGTACTCATCTTCTGGCGATAGCGAAAGGTCAACACCTTGCTGCCCGTCGAACGTACTGCACGGTGCTTCTATGCCTTGATGCTGAGCCAGCGCACCAGCATAAGCCTTCACAGCTTCATATAGATCTTCAGAGCGTGGGCCAGTGTTCACATACAGGTCTTCATTCGTAGTTGGCGAGGTAGCTTCAGTAGGCACAGCATGCGATGCACCCAGTATCGCTGCGTGGGCCTCGGAGTATACCACTGGGTTCTTGCTACTTTGGGTCCCAGTGAGTGGGGCTGGAGCTGTTGGAACCGTGTCCTGCCTCATACCGACTTCTGGATGCAATGTGTAGTCATTACACTGAGTGGGAGAGGTTGTTTCCTGGCCATCCGGAGAATCTAACTTCGCGAACGACTGAACGGTGCAGGTAAACTGTACGCTGGGAGGCATTGGTGCGGCATCCACGCACGCAGCCATATTTCCGCCAGCGGGGCCTTGCACTGTTCCATCGGGAAACTCGTTCACTGTCCTCTTGTCCATGCGCAGTCTGGCTGAAGCGATTATCGTCCGGCGATAGCGCAACACGAGGCCTATGGCTGCCACACTGAGGGAAACGGCTACTGCCACGGGCACGATGATGCCAGTTGCAGACGTCTTCGGGTTGGCTAGAGGCTCTATCCCTGCGGTGAAGATTGAGCACAGCCATAACAGATATGTACTAAGCAGTCCTTCCTGGCTTCATTCTATTTTTTGTTTTTAACTTAATACTAAAATGCACAGTCACACGGGGGTGAATAATGGAGTGTGGTGGTGGCGGTGGTGGTTGGTAGTATACCTAAACATTCGTAAAACTCGGTCCAATGGAGTCTGACGCGAGCTCGGGCTTTTTTTGTTCGCATGGGCTGTATCATAGTCGCCACTTGTCCTCCGAAATACCAACTCCCAACCTAGTTTTTTCGTATTGCGCTTATTCTTGGATTTTTAAGACCACGTCACACGTTTCTCATGCAGTACTCGCGTGACAGTTAGTTGGACTGGCTTAACGAAGCACGAGATCGCACATAACACATGCAATCACTATCCACGCTCCCAAATACATTCCCCTAAACATGTGCAAGTAGTTGTGATGGTGGCGTGGTAGTGGTGGTGGTGGCGGTGGTGTTGGCGATCCTACACGTAGGTAAAACTCAGTTTCGCGCGAACCATGAACTCTTTTTAATGATGCAGTTTTGGAAGACTAACGTTGGGCAACCAGTCAGCTTGAGATATGGGTATTTGCTGATACCATATCCTACAAACGAAAGCCCAATACTAACTAGACTATTCCTTACGTTGGCAGGGCTGCTGCATAGACCAGGTCGCATTATCTTGACACACGATGGAGGCGGTGCGTGGCATGTTGCGTGGAAATGTGTACCCTTGAGCACAGCTATACTGGACTTCATTGTCGGACTGCAGCATGGAGCTCAGATTTGTCGCAACGTCCGTTGTCGTAAGGTTAAACATCGGCGTAGGGCAACCCGTTGCTGCAGAAGAGAGTGGTCCGTACGTGTACATTACAAAAACTGATTAGACCAGGGTTTCTGTACAAGTGTCCTGACACATACTGTGCCTACTGCAAGGTACTGTGCTTTCCAACAGGGCCCATCTGGAAGCTAAATGAAAGTCACTTTTAATGTATTTTTGCACTAAACATTATAATGAAACAGGAAAAAGAAAGTGATACATGTCGACATTTTTACTGGCCAAGGCGCTCAGTATGTTGCGAGCCCTGACATTTCACCCAATTTGAAAAAAATCCACGCAAATCCCTGAAATGCTGCAGCGCCTTTTTCAGACAAGCGGTAATAGAAGACCGGCCCCTATTCCAGATAATCCGGTGATGTGTATAACAGTCCAAACCCCTTACGTTCACAAAGTCTCTGGTTTGACCAGGTTCCATCACTTTGGCACACAATGGTTGAAGAGTTGTCAGTTGTTCCTGAGAATTGGTACCCACTTGCGCAGCGATACTCGACTTCGTCCTTAAAACGCAACACCGACCGCAACTGTGTTATAACTGTCGTCGTATTCCCATCAAACGGTGGGTCGGGGCACGTTCTTGCTGCAAACGATCATACACAGATGTTAATATTATTAGTATTATTAGTATTAATATAGCTATGAATAGGATGAAGGCCGCAGACATCACGCAACTACGTTACTTGTTCGACATGTATTTACTGTGTATTTTATAACAAAAATATTATTGAAAACCCATAATCGATTTTCTTGTTCCTATCATCATTTTTAGTATTATTAGTATAGACAACACCTCATGGCATGAAAAGAAAATCAGCCAGTAAGGGAGATGTGGGTGTTAACCAACCATGGTGAATAAAATAATTAAAGAAGAAAAGTAATGGCCAAGACGGAGAAGCATGGGAGGGACAGGTGATGGTGAATCTAGTGAGCAGATTTAAATGCGTCCAGGGTACTGGCATTGCGGGTAGTTTCCCGCAGAGAATACTGATACATACTATAGATCAAGATACTACGGCAACAATGCTAACATCATGTATGTCATATTCGGAACAGATTGGACCATGATGTCGATGTGAAATTCGACGTAGGAGTGAGATTGGAGTAATTTCAAACACACAAGTTCTAGCTGCGAGAATCACAGTGAGCGTTACAAAAAAGGTGGGACACTTTTAGAAAGAGAGCTACAAGTATGGCTCGTTCCAGGCATGTGAACGAAAAATATCTATCACAAACCAATTCCCTTACGCTCGCAAAGCTTCTGCTGCGACCAGGTTTCATCTCTTTGGCACAAAATGGTTGCAGTGTTTTCAGCTGTTCCTGAAAACCGGTACCCACTGGCGCAGCGATACTCGACTTTACTCTTGACACGCAGGCCCGATTCCAACCAAGTGATACCTGTTGTGTTCTCGTCAAACACTGGCTTGGGGCAAGGTCTTGCTGCAAAGGATCACACGCAGATTTTCAATTTACCACCTAGAGTAATAATACTGTACCACAATTCAAGAAGGAAGTGAACCATTGAGACCATCTAGTGCACGCTGTTCGCAACAGATGATGCCGGCGAGAAATTCACAGTAGGCGCCTCTCTCACTCTCTCACTCTCTCTTCATTCTGCATGCCTCACACTCTCATGTACAAGTAATATTTTCTTTCCTGTTTCTTTTTGTCATTTCATGAAGGCTTGTACAATTCCCTTGTCCAAGCCAGACAACAATAATGCCTGTTTATTCTGGTGAAGTAAAATGAATACAGTCGTCCCTCTCTGATCCGGCACTTTATAATCCAGCACCCTCGATAAACCAGCACAATTTTCAGTAGCCAAAATGTCCCCTTCATGTACATTGCAGCAGTAAATCAGATTTGTTAATCCAGCACCCTCCCTAATCCAGCAGATTTTCGTGGCCCAAATGGTGCCGGATTATAGAGGGACCACTGTATGCGAATCAACCAATCAGTTAGAGTGTAGGTGACATCAAAATCTATCACCATTCATTGGCCAATATACGGTACTCGGACAGTAGTAGGGAGGTTTAGTTCCCACGTAACGGAAACGCGTACGTGGGTGATCCACGTAAAGTGGATGAAGGGCACCCACGTTGCAATGTTGAGTTTAGTCACACCGAACAAACAAAAGCATGAAGCTAAAGGCCAAAACCTGGTCAAAGACGAAGCTACCCCGGCCTAAGAAGCTCATCCAATATTTTGATTTCGTGCTTCGGAAACTTCTTCAGCTGAGCACCCTCACAGCTCGCACAATGCGCTCCATTCTGATTTTCACCCACGTTCTGGCGGAACGTGGGTGAGCCTCCATACACGGTATGTCGTGAATCAGAAAACGTCTGTACGTGGGTCACTGAGTATCACGTGGTACACCCACGTAAAGTACCCACGGATTACGTGGGACTAAACCTCTCTACTGTCGGTCGCCGCAGAACGGGGACGGGGGGAGGCAGCCTCCCAGCCTAGACCGTTCCGATTTTCATGGATTACAGTCTATGCAGAGTTGAGTCACCGTGTATACTTCGAGTACAAGTACATTGGTATGCTGTGCTTGGTAAAATTCTAGTCTGCCCGTTCTTCGGCGCTTCGTTCTTCGCCGTACGACAGTGCTACATCAGCGTGTCTTCGAACTGATCTCTCACGCCTTACCCTGACAATGTGGAATAATCCGAGGCGTCCATGTTCCCGTTTTCGAGCAGGCGATACTGCGCGTTCCTAGCGAGGTTGGCTGGCGAACTGGTAACCTTTTCTGCATCTGAACACGACAGTTTCAGTGGAGCTGTAAAAGTCCTTTAGTGATGCTTGCTGAGACTTTCTGATGTAAACTAGCTGGGGTTTGGTGCACTTGCGATCTGTGGAATGAACAGCATAGAAATGATTAAGTAGAAGCCTTCTTCTGACGTGTGAGGGAAAGTTATAAACGGTAAAAGTCTGAAGAACCACTTGACTGTCATGCACCACCGGGACTTGAACCAGGGACCCTGGCTTATTGCCAGCAACACTCTATCTCTAAGGTATAGCGTAATCGCCATCCAAGGAGCGACCATTCAACATTAAAATAGCACTTTTTCAGAGGTCTTACACAGGTGTATTAACAATCAAAGATGTGCAAACGTGTTGGTGAGGTCCTCCACGCCTTCTCATGTTACGGTTTTATCACAGGGGATACGCACAGGAGGGGTTGGAAACGAGTTCCCAGGGTCTTTCGCCAATACAATGGAAACCTCTGTATGGTATGGTATGTTACGGTATTTTTATTTTTATTCACCAATCGAACAGGCATATCGGCCTTGTTGCCGGGATGGCCAGAGCCAACCACGGCTCCTACTAATTGATGAATATGATAATGTGAAGCAAAGAAAAGAAAAGAAATTCCTATGTATATGGAAGGACACTTGCCTGCCTGCTTTTTCACTCTCGAGAAATCAAGCCTGCACATCACCGTATCCGTTCCTAAGGTCTCCTTCAACCAGTGCTAGGCGCCCTCCCAAGGTTCAACTCTTGCAAAAATTTCATTTTTGCGTCCTCCTGCAACGTCACTACAGTGTGTTGTTTTTTATAAAGCTCATTCCTGTGTGAATATGAGTCCGTTGCTCACCTTTTCAGATACCGCACTTCCAATGCATTGGCACAAATGAATTATAGACAAACAAATCAAAACTTTGCTCAATGTTGCATGTCTAACTTTCTTTGTCAGTTAAGTGCTTTGTTGTCGCACTATCTGGTTGTATAATATCTCGTTACTTTGGCGGACTATTACTAGTTAAAACTCGTCCTTTTTTCATGCCACTACACATGCATGCAGCGAATAGAATTTTCGGTCTTTGACCACTTTGTGGTGGGTGTGATCTACTCACCTCCCACCTCTAAAGAGCTGCATCTGTGCCTTGATCCTAGAGGGTGGTGGCGTTCCTGCTGATGCCGAAACCCGGCCTCCAGTCGAGTCTCACGCGAACCATGCAATTTTTTTGAATAATATTTTTACACATGCATAGCTCTATGGCAAGAACGAAGTAGCTATGTAAAGTGTTACTCACCTACATCCTTCTTTGCCAAAGCACTGCCGTACACAATCACGAGAATCAGCGAGAATACCCTCCAGCAGATCATGGTTGACTCACACCAGATGTGCATACAGCAGAACACAGTATGTTTCTCCAGAAACCGTATGGACAAAGTTCTGGAGACATCTACAGATTTTGCACATGTTTCTCCTTGATAGCTTTTATTATTGCCGCGACATCAAGATGAATGCTGGCTCGTATGCAGCCTTCTCTGTAAGCACTTCCAAGTACAGTGTTGGCAACTGAAATCCGACCCCTGAGCTGTGCGTCCACATTCTAGCGATCTCTATTTCGTAGTTTTACTATCCCGTTTTGGGTCTTTGCGATGTGAGCGCACCGCTCAGTGGTCGGATTTTAGTTTCCAGCGCATTGTACATCGGCTATGTGTAATGGTAATTTGCCTCAGCGATTTGCCTAATCATGTTTACGTGCCTATCGTAGTCTGCGTATGGTAGGGCCCGGTTTTAGTCTTGCGCGTACTCTAGACAACAGCTCAACTTCTAAAACAGAACACATCTTCCATGGCAATCCTGTCGGACCAACCAAAACCAGCAGGATGTGTTGCGAACAACCCGTCCGCAACGGGTTCTTGCTGCCTAAGGTAAGCTTCCCCTGTTCCATTGAATGCCACACGAAAACCCATCTGTGAACGGATTCTTTTCCAGCTCTAGGCACAGCAGGAAAGGAAAAGAACATGTGTACATCGCTGTGCACCTAGACGGTCATCCATAACTAGAGAAACACTTCTGAATGGCAAACCGTGCATAGGATGAATGGGACCGTTTGCTGTGTTCAATAGTTTGGCCGTACCCGCAAATAATTCTCTCACTTCTCAACTAATATTGATATTATATTGATATTATTTTTTTCAAGGATTCTCCGGAGGCAAATGGATGCCTATCAAAGGGAGTCTCCGGGGCAAAGGAAGTGAAGGTTCTCAGTGAGTAACTGTGACAGTGGGAATAAATCTGGCGCAGTCGACGGACGAATAAGCATCCATACACACATGTGGGGCCCCGCTCAAAAACCCAATTCTCGTTTGAAAACAAAATGGCACTAGTGTGGCTGCTTGTAGCAGAAGTGTACAGAGCTAGAGAAAAAAATGAAAACGGGCTACACGGTTTCCTGCAGAAAGGAATTGGAGCGTCATAGTGTTCACTTTCTTTTCCCATGCCCTCTTCCACTCATCCCTCTTTTCTTGGTATCGAGCAGTGTAGGCTTTATCCTAGGTGATGTGGAGCGTGTGGCGATGTTGTCCATTGCTGTTAAAATGCGTCCACACCATCAGGTCTTCTAGCATTTGAAGAGAGTTTATCAAAGACGGACGCTGGATAATACAGTAGAAAACAAAATTAATAATTATACATACTTCGCAGTAAAACGGATATTCTTTGAAGAATATGGGAGAAGGCATGAACTACACAAGCACAGAACTGAAGCAAATCAGAGCATGTTGATACATATCTGGATTGATAATGAAAGCGCAAGCCAGGACAGGCAGTGTGGAATGTTTCGGAAGCCACCCACGTGAATAAGAAGAATACACGCAATGAAAAGCCAATGAAATGAACAGGTGTCTTGCGCAACTTACCAAACACTCAACCAAACGTTGAAGTTCTTGATGTCATACACAGTGATGTGCATTGAATGAGTGGGACTAAACTCCACAGCCGGAACGCACAAGGACCTAATCTCGACGCCTTTAATAATTTAACAGATTTAAAAACATGATTAGAAAACCTCCACTGTGGCACATGTATTTCAAGTACATCAATGGTGTCGTTATCGACCAGTGCCCTATAGATACCAGGTAGAGTAGCCTTGACTGCGTAGACATGTGCAGCGGTTGGTATTGGTCGGGACTTTCCATCCCGGTGCTCTGTGTAACAATCACTCTCGGATACTTGTCCTAGCCACTTCCGGCGTTGCGGTGGTGGTCTTAGCATCCTCTGTACTACCTTCCGTAGCTGTTGCTGCAGTGGAGGCACTGCTAAAAGTCATGTGTACATCGCCCACACACTCGCCTTCATCGTTGATGTTGGTCTCCCGCAAATTCGCATCACCGCATCCGCTTGCAGTCAGTTAGCTCTGGGGTTGTGTTGCGTGTGGGTTACTCTTCTTCCTGTGGTCGCGAATTAGTAGAACGATGGTAACAAGAGCGATGCCCGAGGCCGCAGTTGCAGCTAATGGTATTACAATCGCGGGCACCTGACTGGTCTCCTTCACGTCCTCATTAGATGCTGTATGCAGGGGAAATATTCAGAGTAAACAAACTAATTAGCGCGACTGTAGGCACTTCCAGGCACTTTAGTCGACTGATTGAAACATGTACCTGCTCTTGAGAAAAGGAAACAGATGTCATTTTACAAATGAGTTAATGCCATTTTACAAATACTTTAATAATAGCTATGAAAAGTATGAAAGCCGCAGACATCACAATGCAACAAGCCAATTTGTTCAAGGTTTAAAATTGTATGATTCCAGAATCGATTTTCAACCATTTTATATTTCTACTCCCAACCTTATTTGAGGTACAATTCAAACCAAAGCTTCCATGCAGCCCATGATATGCAACAACACCCAAAATGATTTTCTATAGGACGACCTCACTTACAATAGCAAGATTCGAAATGTGACCAAGTCGAGTTTCTCGTACAGAAGATGGCTGCCTTTCGCCTCTGTGGATCAACGGTCTTGAACTCGTAGCCATCCTTGCAGCTGTACTTTACCCTATCATGGAAGAAGAATGCTTGCTTCAAATCGGTGTGTGCTAGATATAGAGTTGAGGCGAAATCGGGAGCAGGGCAAGCCTTTCCTGGAGGGATTGCTGTAGTCCATTGGGCATACGACATACATGAAATAGTAATAAGATTCTTTTCTTACAGATTGATCTATGACTTAACTACAGAAGATTAGCCTGGAGGAAGGAAAAGCAAAGTGACAGACATTGACAAAAGCCCTTGTTGAGAGCCGTCTCCTTCAGTGACTCCGAGCTTATTGTCCTTCACTTATAGTGGGAGTCAAAACTGGCTAAATGTAAAAAGGACTACTCTGAATAAGCCTTCTATTGACAGAAATGGACTCTCTGTCAGTCCTAAGTTCAGAAACAGTCCTCAGAACGTCTGAAGAAATTGATGAGTGTTGTTGAACCTAAAAGTCGTAGAGGTCTCGTATTGACCCGTTTAATCTATGGATCTCTTCCGCAGAGCTTAGAGTGACTCGCGACCCGATCGCAAGCAAAAAAAACACAAAAATAATACCAAGTCATTAACAAGTATTTTCGAATGATATTTCGAACACGCTTATTGCAAATGATGGGTAAAATGTATTAAAATATACATGTACACGTATACAAGCACGTAGAGAACGTCTTCACGCTTACGTTGGCAGGGTTGCATCTGCTGCCAGGTGGCAATATATCGGCACTTCATGATTGCAATGCGCTTTGTGGTGCTCTCGAAGTAGTACCCGTGTTTACAGCGATATTTCACTTCAGTATTGTGCGGCACTGGACCCGGCTTGGACAATATTTCAGTGGTTGTCACGTTATACCTCGGTGCTGGGCATTTATATCCTGCAAGGAAAAACGTGGACATATCAACTTTCCTGTGAGTGTTGATGTACGAACTATTGTGGCTGGGTAGTTTCATACTTTAAGTCACCATTTGTCAGGATTCCTTCAAACAAGCGCCTGAATAGCGAATTTTGTGCAGGCGGCACTATACCTAGAAATTGGATGAAATATTGCTTGTGTTACAATCATTACAAGTAGAAATGGTGCTAAGGGTAGAGCAAGATCATCCTGAAGAAGTGACTGCAGTATGAACCATCAATGTCCTGTCGTGGACATGGAAATACAGTCGATTGACCAGGGCCGGCGCCCTCGGCGCGTACAGAATGCTGCATGCAGTGCACATATACATGTAATTGTTGTTGTTTTTTATTTGAATTCGCAATACCAAACGGGCAATAAGCCCAATTACATGGAAGCGAATAAAAGAATGCTAAGAATGACGCATTGGGTGGATATTATTTCAAGTGGAAATACTGATCCCGGGAGGTACTACAAATAGGTACAGTAAATATCGGATATAACGTGCCCCTTTGATTTTCGAAAATTTATCACTATATCCGGTGCATCACTATAGCCGATTTGCATGTTTGACCGACACATGGCACATGACTGCACTTGAAATGATGCGTACACGCTGGAAAAAGCATGCTGAAAGTGCATGCATGCTCCGCGGACTGAGTACCGGTGCATGACACAGAGCAGTGCATGGCAGTGCAGTACGAGTACACTGTACAGACTGTACATGTACTAGTACTTCGATACATCATGTGGCATGGCTGCTTCTTCAGCGTGTTCTCCAAAAGAAAAGCCTGAGCTGGATCCGTACTCGCGTACTCGGTGTCCAACGAGTTGCGTAGAGCCAGAAATAGACATGAGTGGCTGTGTACGCGAGTTGGCAACATCATCGTGAGAGGCAACACAGCCAGAAACGGACAAAAAGCGTGCAGAAAGATACAGAAAAGGACAATACCATACAAAGGGAGCGAGGGGTAGCGCAGCCAGAAAAGGACATGTGCATACAGAAACGGACAAGAGCATACAAAGGGAGCACATTGCGAGGGGTAGCACAGCCAGAAACGGACATGTGTGTGCAGGTATTAATGGGTTGGTGCAAAAAGAGATCATGAGTACGTCGAAAAAAACAATTGTTTTGTGATCATCACTCTTGATCATTATATGCGATATTTTCCTGTACATTGCGAGGGGTAGCACAGCCAGAAACGGACATGTGTGTGCAGGTATAATAATGGGTTGGTGCAAAAAGAGATCATGAGTACGTCGAAAAAAACAATTGTTTTGTGATCATCACTCTTGATCATTATATGCGATATTTTCCTGTACATTTGATATGGTTTGCTTCCTGAAGTCCATCACAATAAGCGATATATCGGTATAGCCGATAATAGTGTATATAGTGATATTTTAGATGTATTTTTTCTGATTTCATTTTGATTTTGACGTGTTCTATCACTATAACCGGTATATCACTATATCCGGTCACTTTATAAACGATACTTACTGTACATTGTTGATCCCGTTGCGACCAGTGCGACCAGTGCACCGCACGAATACATTGTGTGTAGATCTACAGCTTATCCACGGTTGCATGGCCAGCGCCCAGGGGTCGCTAGACGTGCGACCGGATTGTCTTGTCCACAACGGTATAAGCCATTAGGGGCAAGGCTACTTTTGACCAAATTTCCGTTATGAGAGACTATGTGACGTCCAAATTGTCTATAGATTTCAAGGACGCCAAAACGCCATTGAGGCAACTAGATATGCGCCCAATGGAAAGCACATGAACTAAAATTGATTTTGCACGGCTTACCATAGCATGGCAGCAAAGGTGACCAGGTAGAGTTTGTCGTGCAGGACCTGACGGCCTTCCGCTTCTGCAGAGCTTCAGATCCGAAAGTGTAGCCAACTGCACAGCTATACTTCACTTTTTCTCCGGGAAAGAATGTTTCATTCAATGCCGTGTGCACCTGATAGAATATTGTGCCGAATTCTGGCGTGGAGCAAACCATATCCGGAGTGAATTCTGTATCGCATGCACATCACACAGAATGAGACTAGCTACTATTACTTGGGTGTGTTTGTCGTGTATGCACAGGTAGAATCTGAATTACCCGCTATATCATTCAAGCAGCTTGGAAAGTCCATACAATGTCGAAAAGGACTGAACACGACACAGAGCACTAACATGATTAATTAATCGGAGGCGGGACATGCCTTCCCTGGAAGGGCATCTGTACGTTATGCAGTCTGGATACGTGTACACCAGGGTATAAGCAATCGTACTATCTCTACAGACAGAGCATCTAGTAAAGTCAGGAGTTGTTAAAAGGCACATACAGTAGCCATACGTGTATTTGTCCGTGGGAGTAAGGTGCGTGCATTAATTTAACATGTACCGACATGTACACACATGAGCGTAGAAAACATCTCCCTCACGTTTGCAGGGTTGGATCCGTTGCCATGTCGCGTTACTCTGGCACTTTACGATTGCGATGCGCTTGGTATCGCCCTCCTCAAAGTAATATCCACGCTTGCAGCGATATTCCACCTCAGCCTTGTAGGGCATCATCGAGCTCATGCTAACTTTAGTTACGACTTTAGTCGTTGTTATGTCAAACTTCGGCGTTGGGCAAAGATTTTCTACAGAGAAAAAGATATCAAAACAATCATAACAATCATTACACACATACCATAGCAGACTCAGCGGAGGACGTTCAGGTTGGTTGTAACTCTGAGTTTCATGCCGTTAGGCAATCATCAGGCAACTGATACTCGGGTCTACCCAACAGTATGCTTATAAACACATACATGTAGGGCCACAAGCATAAATAAATTTAGCGCTATATCTGGTGTAAGGTATGGCTAGGAAGCTGGCGCGGGCCAAGGCGCGACAGTAGAAGTGCTAGGAGGGTGGCGGGCAACAGGCAGGTGTGAGCATGAAAGCGCGGAAAGAGTCCTGCCCGCTACGTGGAGAGTGCCAGACGAAGGAGATAGTGTATGAGGCCACTGCAGAATCTACCAGCAAGATTTACATCGGTCTATCAGAGATACCTTTCAAAGCCCGTGACGTCAACCAGCTGACCCCATGCGCCATGAAAAATACAAAAAACAGCACTGAGCTTGCAAAACACGTATGGGAGCTGAAGAGCGAGGGAAAGCCGTTGACCATTACATGGAAGGTGCGGGAGAGGAGCCGATCATACAGATGTGAGTAAAAAAATGCAATCTATGTACCGCGGAAAAATTCCACATCCTGACTACACCCAAGAAGCTCCTAATCAACAAGCGGTCTGAGATGATCTCGAAATGCAGGCATGAGAATAAGTTCCGCCTCGCAAATTTCACACCGATCAAATTAACTGACCAAGTACTGTACTGCACTTTGCCTGAGCACCCCAATATCAATATTTTTTAAATAGTACGGAGGATTAGCAAGACGAAATTCGCGTTCGCGTTCGCTCTCCAAGGAAAGTCGAACTCAGTGACGGAATTCGCGTTATGAGAAGGATTAGCAAACAGAATTCGCACATGCATGGCGTTGACACGACGTACATTGTGTACAGACAGTACAGCGTGGTAAATTTGTGACTGCCCTGACACGAATCCGCGATTCGTGTTCCGACTACTTTTCCGAACGAAAAATGCGAAAGTTCGCAATCCAGTTCGCGAACTGAAAAGTGTTTGCAAACGCGAACGCGAATTTCGTCTTGCTAATCCTCCGTAGTAACACAATCCCTTGGCCTGTTGTTGGCTATGCCACTCTGCTCACGCCTTCCCATCACCCAAAGACCCCCTAGCGATCACACTGGCCCATTGCCCGCCATCCTCCTGGCACCTCCACCCATCTACTGTACACTGCCTCCCCATCGCCTCTTTTCGCGCTTTCATGCTCACACCTGCCTGTTGCCTGCCACCCTCCTAGCACTTCTACTGTCGCGCCTTGGCCCGCGCCAGCTTTCTAGCCATACCTTACACCAGATTTAGCGCTAAATATATTTATGCTTGTGGCCCTACATGTATGTGTTTATAAGCATACTGTTGGGTAGACCCGAGTATCAGTTGTCTGATGATTGCCTAACGGCATGAAACTCAGAGTTACAACCAACCTGAACGTCCTCCGCTGAGGCTGCTATGTACTAAGCTCTGTCTCTGACATTGAGCACTCTCTGCAGCTCGGGGATCAAAGGATTTAACAATCATAACATATATAAATACAATCATAACCTTGAGGAAGAAAGGAAAAGGACAAAATGTTACGAGTTATGACAAACTGTCCACCAACGTAACCAGATCTTATACAGTCAGCGAGTACGACAAAATGGCACAAAACTGACAAGGAGTACTGAGTTCAAATCATAACATTGACAGAAATATCGGCATTTAGTTTTAGTTTTATTCAAGGCAATACATGCGTGGGATAGCCAATGCCCACGTTGGGTGGTGATTACAGAGTTTGTATAGGCAACCACGGCTTGAAAAATTGAAATTCCTCTCCAAAGGCAACTACTTTAGTATATCCAGCACATGCATACTTCAGAAGATTACGAGTTGGAGGGAGTAAGGTACCGGTGATGATCCTTTCCCCTTCGCGACGTGGAAAGAAGAGTGGGGTGCGGTGGAAAACGAGTGCAGACGCGAAACCAGTAGACAAACACAAGCAGTAGGGATGAAAAAGTAAATGGAAGCAACGCGAAGTTCAAACGTGAGGTATACTTTCACCATAATTATAGCTATGGTGCACCCAGTGCCTGCGCACTGAGGGATACAAATATAAATACTTCGAAGTACGTGGTAGATCGCAGGCTATAATAACAAGTACAACAATGCTCTCCTAGTTGCAGCATAGTTTGACTTGATTTTGATTTCCCCTTATTCTCATATCCGCTAAGGGAACTGGAAATAATTTTGCATGAGCAAGCTTGTCGCAGATGGCAGGATGTATGATAGAAGATACTAATTATAATATTATGCTCACAGGTAGATTATGGATACCCGGAACTGCTGTGTCTTGGGCATATAATATCACGTTTCAACTTATTCACTTAAAGCAAACTATTGAAGGCTTTTGCCATCTACTTCGCGCTGGGATTCATCTCCGACGTTTTCACACTGATACTTTCACACCTAGCCTCAGTTTACCACATCTAGTCCTCAGTTATACGGACCATAATATTATTAATAGAAAAGAAAAAGGACCAAAGAACTGCAAGTTACGCTAAGATGTCCACCAACACCACCAGTTAATAAACAATCAGCTCATGCGATAACATTGCACGACACTGACAGACGGTACTGACGTTATACAACTAACCGACTAACAGCTCTAGCACATCTTGGATGCGCACTCCAACAGCCTTCCAACCTGGAAGGTTCTAAGTTATAGAAATAGCATAAGAAGGGGAAGGTGAGCGCAAGCAATCACGAGCTGATACGTGTCTATACATTCATCCTTGGCTCTTCATCCGACTCTAACATATTATCATGTTATCAATTTATCATCTTTGCTTTGCACCTCTATCTTGCACCTCCTTTCTGGATTTCCTAGCATCATCTCGGGTAGTCCAATTTTCCATATAAATCACTGATGTACTGCCGGCACCCTTCTGTTGTTTTCGTGCACACGAATATCTTTGGGGAGTTCTGTATTGCTCCCTACGTGGTAGCTCCCGCTTTTCCTGCCGACTTGAATTCTCACTTGACTAACTCACCACTGCGTGTGCGAGACAACTTTGATGCCTGCGTATAGTGCACACTGGATTAAAAACCAATTTCTAGTTGAAATGTGTTACACCTACCTGCGACTTCCAGTCCTGCAAAAATAATGAGCACCAATGCGATGGCCTGTGGCATTATAATCCTCATTATAATCCTCAGAGAAGGCATTGTAGGTTCTACTTTGCATGCGCTACCTTCAAGGCATCATAGTGATGTTCGAGACGCTCTTCGCAGGTGAAGGTTTACCCAATTTCCTGAACACAATGCCGAGAAAGTTCTTTATTGGTCGGTTAATGGTGCATCGCCTCATGACATGGACTAATCGCACGCCAGTCCAGTCGGTTCCAGTCCTAATTCAAGCCAAGATCGCGGCCATAATATCACTCGTAACTGAGAACGCTCGAGCAGTAGGTGGCTACTGATTCCATTTACCTCTGCTCTCGGTCAGTGTTTTCGTCCGTGTACATGTAAGCAGCAAGCGGAGAGCGCGTACATTTTACAATCATTATTATATACGTGTCCACTACAATGTAGTTGGCCTTGGCTGCACGGCTAGCCTCCGGATCAACTGGTGCGATCCAATATGAAGTCGTAACTTGAAAACATCACACGTTCAGCGATGATTTATCCGGCATCCAACTTATTCAACCACAAACATACGGCAATCGGACGTGTTGCCTTCAAGCGATTTACAACAGGTTCACTCTGCTTGAGATTCGCTTCCCGGTAGCCATTGGCGGACTATGCTCGGCCAATCGTCAAATTATGCTTTTGATTATGCCACAATTATGCCAACAAAATTTGCTGAATTATGCTGAATTATGCTCGGTTCCATCATGTATTCACGCTGTACATAGAGGATTGAGAAACCACGCATACACACACGGCCATGCTCTAAGCATAAGTTTTGTCTAAACCGAAAGATTATGCCGAACTTTCACGTTGGAATCCGTATATTATGCCGGAGCATAATGTTTTGACGAAATCCCAAGATTATGCCAAATATTATGCCGGCATAATCCGCCAAGGGCTATGACAAGGAGTCGTAACTGGGGTAAAAAAAACATCTGCAGGCTTTCTGACAAAGCTGTATTATGCCCTTAGCATAATTTGTGTCTAAACCGAAAGATTATGCCGACCTTACACGTTGGAATCCGTATATTATGCCGGAGCATAATTTTTGGACGAAATCCCAAGATTATGCCCAATATTATGCCGGCATAATTCGCCATAGTTTTGAGATGATCACAATAGATGGTTCTATTGAACCATCCACAAAGTCACTTGACCATTGGTGTGTAACTTTGTGTGGTACAAATGCAGTGCTTTCGTGAGTATAGTGATAAAAGTGAGTTGCGTGCAGACAATTTTTATGCAACTCCCTTCATTTTCACAACTCACTTCGCAACTTTCCAGCAACCGTGAGCAGAGAAGCGGTATGGACGAGACGATTGTATTTGTATTTTGTATTAATGGATTCTAGGCATTGGCGGATAATGCTCGAAAAGGTGGCAGATTCTGCTCGAAAAGCAGTGAAATTGGCAGAACCATACAAACCTTATGGCGGGCATTTCCTCGAATTCTGCTCCATTTCTTTATCCACACACCAAACATGCATGAAACTTACCAGAAAAAGTACCGAATTCTGCCAATCTGCATTATCTGCATATGCCTAATGGATTCTCCACACGCCACTAAAGTGTCCGTGATGCTCCGCTTCAACAAGAAGCATTGAACCATTACATCAAATCATCATGACAAGACAAATGTACTTCTCGAAGAACATGACACATACACATACATACATACATACATACATGTTTTATAGCCGTGGTTGGCTATAAAAACCCTGC